GTTCCTATTATTAATGGATATTTGCAGTTGTTTCTTCTCATTTTGAGTCGTACCACATCAGCAAATGAAGGTCCCAAAAGCTTGACTCCATTCAGTACATTAAAGTTGACTGTCCCTTGAGGAGGCACCTCTTCCCCAGTCATATTTTGAGTGCCTTCCTACCTGAGGGGCTCATCTTCTGGCACTATACCATATAATGTTCTGCTGCTATTCATAGGATTTTCACTGGCAGTTTTTTCAGAAGTAGACCACCAGGTCCTTCTTCCTAGTCTATCTTAGTCTGGAAACTCCACTGAAACCTGTCCAACATGGGTGATCCTGCTGATATTTGATATACCAATGGCATAGCCTCCAGCATCACAGCAACACTCAAGTCCCCACAGTACGACAAACTGACAGATACGTAAGGGCTGAAGTTATTAGAGGCCTATTAAAAATTGAATTTATGGGGATCAGCTACAAGTTAGTATCATTTCCAAATTATTTATTTCAATCAAAAACATCAACAGCAAGCAGATTCTAGCCCAAGATACCCCAAAGCCTGATCCATGAAACACTAGCTCTGAATGTTAGTGTTAGAAGAAATTTAAGTAAAATGGTTTCCTGGTCAAATAAGTTTGGGAAACAGAGGCTTAAATAAATTCAAACCAGTAGAACTGCTCATTGTCTTTACTACAGTAATGTGCAAAGCTTATTAGACCAAAAAAAAAAATTTTTTTTTTTTTTGTCTTGTTTCGTTTTAATGCACAGATTTTCTGGGGACTAACATTCTGATGAATATACTTTAGTACAGACTAGTCTAAACAATGAAGACAAGGTCTTTATTTTTTGTTAAGATGTTGCCCAAATGACTTATCAGTTGTCATGTGTTCCGTTCATCTTACGTATATCAATAAGGCCTTATCAGCAATGAGTAAGTTACATAGTCTTCCTGATGTTCTTCAGAAGTCTCATTGTTTCTACAGTGGCAGTTTCATGAATGTACTACTTTGTTTACTAAGCGAGCCAAGAGTAGTAGTCAATACATTAGCTCCTCTGTGGCTGATGGATTCCATTTTAAGTAGGGATCAGAGCCCAAGCCCAGATCCACTAGCCGAATTCTGTCACCGCAGGTAGAATTGTTCCTTTTGCAGACTGCATTCATTTGTGCTCTGAATACATGTATGCTATGAAATGTCTCCCCTGGAACCAAGTAGCACATACCTTAAGCTGTTGCCTCCAAGTGACTGTTTGCAAATCAGGAGCTCAGTGCAGTCCACAGGAGGGAAGGGCAGGAGGTGGCTTTCTGAGTCTCTGCTCTGAGGCCAGAAGTAGCTCAGGCCACAGCTGCAGCTCCTGTTACCTTCCTCTGAGAACCCTTTCTCCTCAACTCCGCTCAAGTGGTACTTGTCATAAAATGCCAGTCAATTTGTTTTCCATGAAGCAGCAAGAATAATCTCAACTGCCACAATTGCCCTGAGCAGTACCAGCCTGCTCTCCTGAGGGAGCCCCACACTGGGAACATCCATCCGAGGCTGGCTTGTGTTTTCTGGTCTCTGTCCTTGATCCCCTCTGCCCTCTAGTTCTACTGATGATTAGCTCTAGTTGGCAATATTTGATCACATTAGGCCTTTTTAAGTGTATAATGAACCCTGATATTTTTCCTGTGATAAAATCCATCATGAGATTTCATTATTATAAATTTAGTTTGGTTGAAATGTTCATGACTTTTTTTATTCTTGCCGCAAATGAAACAAATTTGCGTTTTTTTAAAACCTCTGACACAGCTATGTTTGTTTTATTCATGAGGGTACAGGGTTCTCTTATCACTTTCATATTCCTTTGTTTAGAAGAGTATAGGATCATTTGTAAACAATGAAGATTTTGCAGAGCTTTCCATCTTTCAGATCATTTTTTTAAAAGCAAATTAGACTGATCTGTGGTTTGATTCCTAGAAGATGCTAGATTTGAAGACCCTTTATTCAGTTAAGATTTAACTTCCATGTGTATTATGGTAACAAATAAATGGAAAGATTCTCAATGTACACACCAATGGACTAGTTAAATAAATACTATGTGGCCATAGCCATAACTATATATAAAAATAACCAGTGTGCTGTGAAAATATTAGTGATATATTAAGGGAATAAATCAGTTTCAAAATAATAGACAAAGTATGAGCTTTCTTTTGTTAAATATAAATAAGCTCGTCTCTGCATAAAACAGACGTTGGGTTGGTTGAGAGCATAACATTTAGGCTTCAAACAAGCTTGAGTACAATTCTGTTCTCTCACTGACCACATACGTGATTTTAAGGAGGTGAAGTTAGTGTGCGTTTTGAAGTCTCAGTTTGTTCATACATAATAAATATTCCGTCCAGTCATTTCCAACTGATAGTGACTCTATAGGACAGAGCAGAACTGCCCCATAAGGTTTCCAAGGAGCCACTGGTGGATTTGAACTGCCAACCTTTTGTTTAGCAGCTGAGCTCTTAACCACTGCACCATCATGGCTACTCATACTTAATAGGAGGATCATGATAATTCCTAACTTTATATGATAGTCAGATGGTTTAAATAACATGTACAAACCCTTATCACACTGCTGGGCACAAAGTAAGTGCTCAATAAGTGGTAGATATTATTATTAATGATTTTGGTGGTAGTGGGGGGTATCTTTGTTTGTTTTGTATTTTAATGTTTTTGACAAAATATATACAAGGTAAATGTATACACTGCATACTTAACCACATAAAGCATATATGGAAGTAAAGAATACGTATGTACATAAATAGGTACATACATAGGTACATAGATAGGTATAGATATATAATCATTGCAAAATATATACCCCATCCTTTGCTTCCTATCCCTGAACAAGTTTTATCTCTGAGAAATATTTCTTCAAAGATTTAACCCTCCTTTAAGTCCCACCCTTAATTTCTCCACTGAGCATCTCATCTAGAATCTTCAGTACCAGCACAGACTCTTGACGCCACAGCCTCTATCTTCTCTACCCTAAACTCCTTTTGTAAACTTCAGTCTGTGTAACTTTCTCTTCATATCGTCTAGTCATTCTGTTGGCTTTTCCTTGCCAAAGTTTATTCCTTCTTGTTTGGGGAAGCAGAGAATGTGCCAGGAATTGCTCCTCACGTGGGCTTCTAGTAATAACAAGAGTGCTGTGGTCACAGCACCACACATCAGTCCAGCACCAGGGCCCAGTCACCTGGACTGCAGTGGCACACCAGGTAATGGTTGTAGCACAGCCCTGAGAGATGTGACCACCCTGTCAGGGTGCTGAGCAGGGTGGTAAGTTCACCGTGGCTGTGGCTACCACGCCTGTTGTCATACACTCACAGGAGAGAGCGCCTGGCCAGAGCACATTTCCAGTGAGGTGATGTGTGCTGGCCACAATGCCAGCAACTCAGTATCTGCCTCTTATTCCCATACGAATTACCCCTGTGTCTTAGTTATCCAGTGCTGCTATCACAGAAATACCACAGGTGGGTGGCTTTAACAAACAGAAATTTGTTTTCTCACAGTTTAGGAGGCCAGAAGTCCAAATTCAGGGTGCTGGCTCTAGGAGAAGGCTTTCTTTGTCTGCTCTAGGGGAAGGTCCTTGTTTCTTCTGAGCTTCTACTCCTGGTTGATCTTCATGTGGCTTGGCATCTCTCTTCTCCCATCTGTACTTGCTAGCTTGCCTTTAATCTCTTTTATGTCTCAAAAGATTTTGACTCAAAATACACCCTACACTAATCCTGTCTTATTAACATAACAAAGACAACCCGTTCCCAAATGGTATTATAACCCCAGGCATAGAGATTAGGATTTACAACACATTTTTTTTTTTGGGGGGGGGGACACAGTTCAATCTGTAACACACTAGATGTGTTCAAATCCACAGATGGTGTCTGTATTATCTGCTGAACTGATCTCCCCTTCTTCCACTAAAGCCCTTTGCCCCCTGTTCCTCGCCTTCTGGCCTGGGCTGCCTGCCACATCATGTGTGCTTCAGCGTCTGTTATAGCAACAAACTGCCATGTGGGTGTGAAAATTATCCAAATGTTCATTGATGCTAAGAAAAAAAACCTACTGCCGTTGAGTCGATTCCGACTCATGGTGACCCTATAGGGCAGAGTAGAACTGCCCCATAGAGTTTCCAAGGCTTTATGGTAGCAGATTGCCACCTCTTTCTCCCTTGGAGTAGATGATGGGTTCGAACCACTGACCTTTTTGGTTGGCAGTTGAGCGCTTTAATCACTGCGCCACCAGGGCTCCTTCATTGATGTTACTGTTCTCAAAAAGTAGGCTTGAGTGAGACTATGTGCCATTTTTTTTCCCCAAAATCATTCAAATGAAATAAGGAAGACAGATTTGAGTATCTCTTTGGCACAAAGGAAGAAATTATGAGTTATCATCCAGTGGAGGACAGCTAGTAAGTATCATACTTGGACTTGAACCACATCTTGTCACTGTAAGTTTAACGTTACTTCTCTAAGATTAAAAGAAGAACCATCCTAGATCTACCCTTCTTGGAACAGCATGGAAAACAAATTAAGTATACAGAATAGTGAAGAGGTCCTGGATTCAAGGATTGCTTTTAACATTTTCTCTATTTTTCCCTTCTAGGGATTTAGATTTACACCTAAAGTAAAATATATTCCAGCTGCTATTACATGTCTAGTTTTTAACTGCTTCAGTGAGATTGCAAGCAACTGTATTTTTATTGAGCATGTGGCTTATTTAATAGCAATGTAATTCATTAGCATTTTTTGGAGGAAGAATTGGTTTAGAGTTCTTTACGATATTTCTTAAACTCCAGGAAAACACTGGAATCTTTTGAATTCCTAGTAGATTTCATAAGACTGGAAAATAATGAAAAGCTTTCTGGTACCTTTTAGGGAGAAACCGAGCATTCTTTATTTTAAATCATTAAGAAGACTCAAACATACTTGAAGAAGGTTTGACCACAAATATAAGAACAACTAAATTTCCTCCCTTTTTTTTTTTTTTTCTCCATAGCTTAAAGGGAGCTGACGCTGGCAATGGGATCAGAGTGTTTGTGCCTGATATCGGGATGTTCTTTGCTAGTCTGACCATCTGGCTCGTCTGTAAAAACATCGTTCAGAAACCAGTGACAGAAGACACAGCACAATATAACCTGGAATTTGAAAATGAAGAATTGGTAAATCTGCTACATGCATCTTCCTTCTTTGATTTCTGAGGACCATGGCCCTTAATAGGTTGTGGAACTGTAATAGTAATAGCTAAGTATGCATAGTACTTTGTGATTGACAGTGCTGGATGGGAATGGTGGCAATTACTATGCACAGCAGCCTCACACGGGGTTGGTGGGTAGATAGTACTCACACCTTCGTAAGAAGAAAGTGGCTTCATTGACTTGAACCCAATATTCTCTTCACTATTCCAAACTATCGTCTAATCTTATCTTAAATGGTTAACCTATTAAAATCTTAGTATTGTTGTTTAATCAGTCTGGATACATTGTTGTTGTTGGGTGCTGTTAAGTCAATTCCCACTCATAACTCCCCCATGTGACAGAGTAGAAATGCCCCCATAGAGTTTTCAAGACTGATCCTTATGGAAGCAGATTGCCACAGAATTGCTAGGTGGGTTTGAACCACCATCCTTTTGGTTAGCAGACCAACGCTCAACCATTGCACCACCAGGACTCCTTCTGGATACCTTAGTCATTGCAAAATATTTAGAGCAGAAGTAACACTTGGCAGTTTTAGGAGAAAAACAATTCCTCCTTGAAAGGGGTCACCTTCAGGTCTGTGCACCTAGCTGTTCAAAGAGTAATTGTGGTAACTCATTGTGTTGGGATCACAGTATTTTAAAGCAGTCCAGAGAAAATATATATTTGAAAAAGTGTAAGAATTGGAAAAAAAGGATAACAATAAGGAGCAATTTCTCTGTAGCGAGTGGATAACTTTTCAGGAGTGACTGTCGGGACTGTGTCAGATTTCATTCCTTGGTGTGTAGGAGTATCAGATAGCTTGTCTCCCTGTCTGCTGACCTGCTGTGAAATGCTGCTGTGTTTTAATAACTGAACATTGTTATATGAGTTCAAACCAAACAAACAAACTCATTGCCATCCAATCAATTCTGACTCATAGCAACCCTATAGGGCAGAGTAGAACTGCCCCATAGGTTTTCCAAAGAATGGCTGGTGGATTTAAACTGGCGACCTTTTGGTTAGCTCCAAGCTCTTAAGCACTGCACCACCAGGGCTCCTATATGAGTTAGGTGACATCAATTTAAAAAGTTATTGATTTAATAATTAGAAGGTGAAGTTTACAAAGAAAAAGTACTACAAAATATTTGATTTAGAGATTTGACACATAACACAATTACCAAATGTTTTTGGTCATAAGCTGTGGCAATAAATTAAACATGTATAACTGAAGTTAACTGAAATCACTTATACTGAAAATGTTCATCACAAAGTCATCAGGGATGAAAATTCTCAGTTACGGCAAATGACCCGATACCATTTCACAAAGGGGCAGCATATTGCCATGCGTGTATGACAAAAAAAAAAAAAAAAGAGTAGCTACTGAGGTTGCTTATGTACAACCAAAAACCTCATGGGATTTGGTTCCTTGGCTTGGAGGTTTAGGGTCATGGTTTTCTGGGACATCACAGTTAATTAGCTTAATAAAGTGTTTAGTGCTTCTGTTCTACCTCCTAGTTCGTTACATAGTGCCTGGTGTCTTAAAAGCTTGCAACCAGCCATCCAAGGTACAACAATTGGTCTCTATTCGCCTGGACCAATAGAGGAAGAAGGTGAATCAGCAATAGGAGGAAGATATGGAATATGTGGCTAATTGACTTCAGGAACAACTGCCACCTTTGCCATGAGACTGGAAGAACTGGATGGTACTCAGCTGCCATTACTGAACATTTTAATCAAGGATTCTGTAGAAGAATCCTGATCAAAAGGGAGAAAATGCCAAACAGAATTTCAAGTTCTCATGGACTGCAGACTTTCTGGAGCCAAAGGGACTGGATGAACCCGTAAAACTATTGTCCTGAGATAATGTTTAAACCTTAAACCAAAAATATCCCCTGAAGTCTTCTTAAAAACAAACAATAGTTTAACTGAACTAGTAAAAAATGTCTGCCTTGAGCATTATGCTCTTTTCAGACCTATTTACATGATATCAAATTGACAATAGCAACTTGAAAAATTAGATAGGAATCTTAGTGGGCAGTGAGTTTATATTAATTGAGGAGGAACAACTAGAAAAGAAGGTGAGAATGGTTGCACAACTTGGCAAATCTAATCAATGTCACTGAATTGTACATACAGAAACTGTTGAATTGGTGTATGTTTTGCTGTGTATATTCTCAACAACAACAAAAGAAATAATTTAAAAATGTAAAGAAAGGATATAATGCAATAAACCTATGACAAGTAGAAATGATATTATTTCCTAAAATCCTTATGGGTAAAAGATATATAATCACATTCCATATGAGCATTCTGCTATTTTTAAGGCAAACATAAAAAGGTACTTAGTGTAAAAAGTAATTATAGTGAAATAAAAACTAATCACATGTTGTCTGAAAAATGAATAAAACTAAATCACTTCTGAGATTAATCTACAAAGAAATATTTCTTATGTCTAAGCAAGCTGTACTTGAGTCTGAAAAGACGTGACCAAAATAAGCAAGGAAATTTATTTAATTTTTGAAGACCGCAACATACTCCCTGCTGCTTATAAATCTTGGCTCTTGAACTGTAGAATGTTTGGATTTTGAAGCTATTTTGGAAGAACAGTGTTTGCTGGCATTATTTCTTCTTTCATTTATCTCAGTGGAGAAATGGCCAGATTAATCCACTGGTGCCTGGGGAAATTCCTTTTCCAATCCAGCATTGTTTTAGTAAAATAGCAGCTAATCCCTGGAGCCGACTCTGGAGTCTTCCCTCCTCTTCATTGACTTGAGGTTGAGGCTCAAGCTGACCACTGTAAAGGTGACCATGATTAGAGGATTCCCCTCAAAGTCCCTTGGGGGCAGCTGCAGAGACATCTTCCTCACTGTCAGCCTTGGCCTCTCTTTTGCGTCTTACAGAACAGACCTCAGTAAGGGAGCCATGCTCCCTCCCTCAAGTGCCAAAGAAGCTTCTCTTGAGGCTGACATGCTTGTGCTCTGGTTTATTTGTCATTTTAATTCAGGAGCAGACCTACAAATCCTAACTGGGAGAAAGATTCATATTCTGAAATCTTAAAAAAAAAACAAAAACAAAAATAAATTGTATTAGGAAAACTAAACTGTGGAGAAGAGAATTATCTGTGCACTAATACAGTATATAATTTCACCAAACTGGTATTATCTTGTGTATTCCTATACCTTTAACTCTTTTTAGCTGTTTCATGAGGCTTGAAGCTTCATTTTTTGAAGCAAGTAGTATTTTAAGGTATTATTAAAGCCAATTTCTGATACATTAAATGTTTATTCAAATAAGAATTGAAGTCATAATTTTTATCTGCTTAAAGAGATATCTTATAAGTGTGATAAATTATGTATGATGGGCAAATTAACATTCCAGTATAAATTTGCCCTTATCTGCTAAAAATTCAGGCATGTAATATTTAGGTCCTGCTAAGGTTATTTGGAAATAACCTCAAACGCTTTACCCTGCTTTCTGATACCAGTTACCCACTGTCTTAGTCATCTAGTGCTACTCTAACAGAAATACCACGGGTGGATGGCTTTAACAAAGAGAGGTTTATTCTTTCACAGTCCAGTAGGCTACAAGTCCAAATTCAGGGCTTCCCCTCCAAGGGAATGCTTTCTCCATCTGTCAGCTCTGGAGGAAGGTCCATGTCATCTGTCATCCCTTTGTCTAGGAGCATCTCAACACAGGAACCTCAGGTCCAAATGATGCACTCTACTCCCGGCACTGCTTTCTTGGTGGTATGAGGTTCCCATGTGTCTCTGCTTGCTTCTCTCTATCTCAAAAGAGATCGCATTCAGACACTATCTAATCTTGTCAACCTCATCAGTATAACCTCATCACAGTGACAGAATTTACAACACATAAGGAGATCACATATAACCTCATAGTGATAGAGTTTGCAACACATAAGGAAATCACATCAGATTACACAATCATACAATACTGGGAATCATGACCTAGCCAAGTTGCTACAAACATTTTGGGGGGGACACAATTCAATCCATGACACCCACTCAGCTCTTGTGGCATCTGTGTTCTAGCTCATGAAAGGACCAACTGTGCTCAGTCAGCTTCAAGTTTCAGCTTTGAGATGCAAGTAACTCCTTTTTAAAGAGTAGGAAAGAAAGAATGGGAGAAGAAAATCTCTTAATTTTCACCTTTTAACCAGGTATTCAGCATTTGGTGGGTTCTAACTTGCTCAGCTGCTAACTGAAAGGTTGGAGGTTTGAGTCCTACCCAGAGGCACCTTGGAAGAAAGGTCTGGTGATCTACTTCTGATAAATCAGCAATTGAAAACCCTATGGAGCACAGTTCTACTTTGACACATGTGGGGTCGTCATGAGTCAGAGTCTGCTGGATGGCAACTTGGTTACTGGTTAACCTGAGACAGTCCAAGTTCACGTGCTTTATTGTTGTTGTTAGATGCCCTCTAGTTGATTTTGACTCATAGGGACCCCATGTGACAAAGTAGAACTCCCCCATAGTGTTTTCTAGGCTGTTATCTTTACAGAAGCAGATCATCAAACCTTTCTTCTGAGGTGCCTCTGTGTGGGTTTAAACAGCCAAACTTTTGGTTAGCATCCAAGTGTTTATCGACTGTACCACCAGGGCTCCTCTTACCTGCTTTACATATAACAAGATTCTATTTTTTAAAACATATAGACACAACCTTTTGAAGCGTGCAACCATTTAGGATGCTGTCTAAGACGGGGTTCTCTAGAGCAGCAAAACCAGTAAAGCATATAATTATATATATAGAGAGAGATTTATATCAAAGAAACAGCTCACCCTATTGTAGAGGCTGGAACATCCCAAGTCCGTGGATTAGGATAGAGGCTTGTCCCAATTCATGTAGCCTCAGGGGCTCATGAACCCAAGATTGGTAGGTTAGAAAGCAGGACTCTCCTCACAGGCTGTGAAGATCAGTGAATCTCAAGATTGGCAGATAAGCTCAAGTCCCAAGAACCAGAGGTCAG